ATTATACATGGCTCCTATGATGAAAAAGGGAAGTGGAAAAGCTATTTTTAATAATGAAAGAATTGCAAGTTTTAAAGCACTGAATAGATATGGAGATTTGCAATCATAGAAATTGTTTGGAGAATGTAGTTTTCTTCGTTCTAGAGGAACAATCAAGTACTTGATTGTAGAACGACATTGGGAAACTTTTTTTTATTTCACTGTCATTGTAGTTATTTCTGTTGTTCGAGAATTTTATGCAAAGCTCCCTGATGAATCTGACGATTTGGTGTTTGTTAGGGGACACTATGTTGATATTAATCATATTCAAATAAATCCCATTTATCAACTATATAATGTTCCTACTTGCTTCTATTCAGAGTTTAATCCAATTGATTTCGAGCTTGATGAAATTGTTCGGTTCTTGACTCATGGGTATGGAGTTTGGAAGATCAAGAACGGAGGCCATGTAAGCTTTTCTATGGTTATACATGTTGATTAGATTTACCACTTCTCAGCACTTATCATTACTACTTGTACCTGTACTATTCTCCTGTTTAAAAGTTTAAATTTTTCTCTCTTTCATCAAATTTATTATGAGCTGTACTCTTTTAACTTAATCAAAAAATTAAGTTTGGGGGAAGAAAGAAGAACTTTTTAAAACTAAACCTTATTTGTCCTCAATAGACTATATTATTAAAATTATTTAAACATGACCTATGATATGTTGGGGTTAGCATTAGATAACTATATTTTTTTATTTTATAAATGTCATAGTAGTCTTAAGTAAAAAATTTAAATAATAAATGTTAGTTTTAGGGTTAAGATATTTAGTATAAAAGTATAAGATTATGTTTTTACTACTCAAAGCAAAGATAATTGTATTTTTGAAATTTTAAGGATCTTAAATATATACTTAAAAAGAAAGAATTGAGACTCTATGAAAAAAATTTTCAAATCTAATACACATTTATCTAGAAAAGAAATGTAAAAAGTTTTTAATTTTAAGAAGAGAATGGTGAAACTCAAAATCATTAAATGTTATCTAGATATAGTAATCCTCACCAAAAAAAAAAAGAAAGGATTGAAAATGATCCTATAAGAGAAGGAAAAGAAAACTAAAAAAAGAAAAAAAAAGAAAAAAATATATATGTGAGGAGAAACTAGAAGGGATGCCTAATAAAAATTTAGCAACTTAAGGAAAGAGACTTAATTACATTTTTTAACTTATTTTTTTAAAGTATTAGCATCTTTACAAATAGAGTTCTCATGCATTTTTATTTTTCTTGTAATTCTTCTAAACATCCTTAGTATGATATTACAGTTATTCTTGAAATGAATCAAAAATTAGAACTCTTAGAGTTGACTACGATGTATTCTTACATTTTAGTTTTAACTTAAGTTATTTATAATTTTTTCTAAAGTTTCACTATTGCATTTATGGACAAAAGCTATAGAAAACTTTGAGTAAAACTAAATATTATAAGTTATGAATTTTTACATAGTAGTTACTTGAGAATAAGTAAAATTTAAATTTGAGGGAATTGATACACCTTAAAATTACTTATTTTTAATATACACTTAATGTTCTTTTTATGCACATTTTCTTATGAAAACACACTTTAAAGGAAGGTAATTTGGTTTCAGGTACAAGAAATGAAACTTTAGAGAAAATGAGAGAAAAAAGGAGCAAAATGGGACACATCATATGACGTCATAGTGCCAGCTATCCGATGTGATAGGTGTCATCGCGCCCCAGAGTGGCGCCATAGTACCATAAGCGGTTTGTCAAGATGATGTAATAAATTTGGACGAATTTTGAAGGGGCGCTTGAAGCGACACTTGGTTATTTTCAAAGATCTAATAAAATTGTTCAATTACAGAACAAAAAAGGACTTTTAGAAGAGTTATAGAGTCTAGAGAGGGTGTGTGAGTTCATATTTGAGAGAGTTTGCCTTGTGTGAGAAGGGTTTGGAGATTGCTTGAAGGAAACTTCAGGAATTGCTTGGGGAGAATACATAAGATAAGTACTTTGTGTTTGTGTTTGATTTTTTGTTGTTACGACTCGGATTACAAAACAAATCACGTGTTTTTATTTTATCACCATGAATTCTGAGTAGATTTTCTTTCTTTCTCCTTGCATATGGGAATTAATCATATGGGATGAGAATAATATAAAGATTTCTTTTTATTTTAAAAATTGCAATGACATTTTCACTGATTCTTCATTGACTTTGCAAATTAGCCACCTATAAGGTTAAAATCTGTTGAGAAACATAATGACCTGAGAGGACTATGATTTCACCCAACTTGTGAATTCTACACTCATCTTACAAGGAGGGCAAACACAATCTAAGGCGAGTGCAAATAGAAAGGAAGAAAAGTTTTGATGGGCGTAGAATTGATGTTTCTAGGGTGACAAACTAGATTCTTTTGTCAATTCGATCTTGAGTTTGGATCTAAGGGACCCTAGTAGGTCCTATAGAGAGAGCACGGTGGGCTATCTTGAACTGAGACTTCATAATCTACAAAGCACTAATACACAAGCTGGAACAAACTTAAGGCTAGCCAATGTTCTTTGCTAGCACCGAGACGGGGTAAAGAATATGTATGCTCCTATTTGTCACAATACATCATTTTATATTTTTAATCATTCAAATTCTACACTGATTAAGATCTCTTTGCAAGAGGAAAGATCTTTTCTTAATATTCTAACTCTTTTAAACTTTATTAGTCTTTTAAACTTTATTATTACATTCTACTTAAATTTAGATTGCACATTAATTTAGTTATAACCTTTTACAAATATATTGATATCATTCTTTTATTATTTTTATCTGTAATTTAGATAGAAGTTTTTCTAAGTCATTATTAAAAAGTTATAACTTCCCTATGGGTTCGATACCGTAGTTTTTAAAGAAAGTCTTACATTACTTGAAACAATATTTATACTTGCGTAGTACTCCTAGTGTGAAACTTTATTATTTATTTTCTAAATTGATTTATTTATTAACACTAGTCATTAAATATATATTTGGTAAATATTTTAGAAATCTTTTGGAATTTAAATATCCGTGTAATTGCGGGTTGGATCAAAAATTTTTATTAGATGTAAGTAAAATACCCTACCAAAAGTGAGTAGCAGAACAACAATACCATTCCTCAAGGAGGCGTGTTCATTACCATTACTAGAATTAGCAAGGCGCAACTGACCAAGATTCGAAGTTAAGTTGGTTATGGCTCCAGAATCCAAAGCCATGTAGGTGTCGTAGCCTACATGGCCTGTGTAGGTGTGTAGTCTAGATTAGATAGATGTCAACAAACAGCAACGAAGAGGCCAAACTTATTACAGATTTGACAAATAACAAAGATCCGAGATTTAGATTTGACACCTATCATCATGAGATTATCAAATTACGGATTCCGACCACGAACTCTACTCAAATTACCTTGTTTACTGCTAACTACAGTGATGGCCGAATGACATGTAGAGGTCAGTTCATGTTTTTGAGCATCATTAAACAAATTAATTTCCTTGCCGCACAAGAATGTTTAGAAGTCATCAAGTTTCATGGGCCATAATTTGATTATTCATGGAGAGGTTATGGAGTTCATACTTGAGCTGAATGAGTCTAGATGGATTGGTGTGTCGTAAATGTTTGGCAAGAGTATGCAAAATTTGGGTAGTAGTTGAGTGCAAAAAAATAGGGAAGAATGTTCGGCGAGATGATGGCATATAGGGCAGCAATTAAGTTCTGATCTATAAAGACACAAAGTAGTGAGTGTTGTTATTAGGAGTGGTACCCAAAATAGCTTGGGGTTGGCGAGGACATGGTGTGTACCATCCAATAATCCTAAGAAACCATTAGCCGTAAAGATTTTGAGAACTTGGGTTCTCCAAATAGGACAGTTATTGACTAATAGTTGAATTTCAATAAGGTTCTTGATATTGCTGATTAATAACTTGAGGGAAGATGGTATGTTTAAGGTTGGATTAGGTTCCATAGAAAGGGATTCATGGATTTCAAATGCCTTAGACTGGTCCATAGGAGAGACGAAACAAAAGAACCACTAACAGGCCAACAGAGGAACCACAAATAGAAAAATGAAGTTGGGGAGCAGGAAGGATGCTACAGTTTCTTGCCGAAGAAAAATAGAGAGGCCAGAAACAGAAATGACACCAGCAGAGCAGCAAAGGGAGTGAAGGTTTCCTCACCTAGAAGAAAAAATGAAAAGAAAAGACACATAAACAACAAAGAGAAAAGTAGAGGAGAATGAAGAAGAAAGATGTTACTTATCTTGATCTGCGAAGAGGATGTTCGAATAGGCAGGGATCATGTACTGTGATACCATAAAGAGAGATGAAATAGGTAATTATTAGAGAGCAGCTTTAAATTACAAAAATTACCATTAATAACATCCTCTACAGCTATAATGTAGAGGGTTGAGGATCACGATTTTTATTATCACACTAATGTTGGTGGTAGGGCTGTGAATTTTGCTCAAAGACGGTTAATCACTCAAAGATTCATTCAAATTTTAATTCGGATCAAGTTCAGAGTGAAAGAAATGAGCCGAATTATGAGCCAAAATTTAGGATCAAGTTTTTTTCGAGCCGACCCGACTCGACTTGATATCAAATTGTTAATAGTATATGGCCGTGAATTTAGTGAATTTAGCCTGAAGATCGTTAATCACTCGAAAATTGATTTGACTTTTGGCTCGTATCAATATCATATCGAAATAAACAAGTCAAGTTAGAAGCCAAAATATTGCACCAAATTTTTTTCGAGGCGATTTTGAGTGTATACCATAGTTCGGCTCAAAATTGGATCTTTAGCGACCCTACTCGGTGGTTGGCATCTGAAAATCAATCTAAAAAATAATTTGGCTCTCATAATATGTTATGAATTAGTAGAATAGAAAATAAATTGATACTTGTTATTGTTTCTTCCGCAAAAAAAAATAGAAGGGCTAGAAATATAAGATGAAGATGAACCAATAATTGCTAATTGCAATAAGAAAATATTTTATAAAGAGAGGACAGAATCTCCCTTAGTAATGTGACGATATAAATATAAATAATAGATATGAAACAACACCATGTAAGTGGCAAAATAGTAAAATTTTAGCCAAAACATTCTTCTCCAATCACTCTACTAATCTACTACATACACTAAGACTTTGTCCAATCGATAGATATTCAGTTACGAGAGCACGACTATCTACTATAAATGGTGGAGGCAGAACGAGAAGTTGTCTCACCTTCTGGATTCCAATCCAGAGTAGAATTATAGATGGCTGAAAGTGATATCAGCAACTCATTCATCGTAGGGCGGGAATTAAAATCACGAGATAAACACCTCTTAGCTAGTTCGGCAGTAGCATAGGCCAAATCAAATGGGTAATCATCTCTCAAGCAACGATCAATAAAACCTCTCAAATTACTCCTCACGTCTTCCCCAGATAGAACATCCTCAATCGTGGATGACAGAAGAATCTCCCCTTTCTCCTCACCCTCTCTTTGAAATGTGGCCTCTTTACCAGATAACAGCTCCAGTAAAACAACACCAAATGCAAAAACATCAAGCTTTGGAGTGATAAGGCCATGTTCGAGATACTCAGGGGCAAGGTACCCTTGAGTACCAACGACATGCCTGGTGAGCTGCTGCGGCCCCTCCTCATCTGCAACTGCCTTTGCAAGCCCGAAATTTGCAACCTTTGCCCTGAAATCCTTCGCAATCAGAACATTGCTGCTCTTCAAATTCTTATGAATGTATGGTGGATTTGTGTAATTGTGAAGATAATTCAACCCATCTGCAACATCACAAGCAAACTGAATCCTGTGGTTCCAGGTAAGGCAAGAAGAATCACTCGAGTTCTTCATATGATGCAGCCAATCACTGAGAGAACCCATCTCCACATACTCATAAACCATGTAAGTATCCCCTTCGTGCAAGCAAAAACCAGAGAGCTTGATCAGATTAGAATGGCTTATCTGCTTTAGTATATTGATCTCGTTAGACACATCCCCTTTCAACCTCTTTATAGCAGCAGCATCACCATTGATAACCCCCCGATATACTGAGCCTTTAATCCGATGTTTTTCATCAAAATAGTCGGTAGCCTTCTGCAATTCTTCAAATTTATACACCGTCATCCAATCAAGCGCACCTTGCAAGCCGGAAGCCAAATGGTAAGGGGTAGTCGAGGATGACAAAGAAGTTGATTTGAAAGGTAGCTCGTCATATTCACTGTGGGATACTTGCTCCCCCTTTTGGGGTGGGTGCATCCTACTCCGAATACAGAAAAACAGAGCCACAGCAGCAACAAGAAGAAGCAAACCGACCCCTACACCAATCCCGACGAACAACCCTGTGTGGCTAGACCCACTGTCACCGGCGGGTGGAGGTGGGGTACCAGAAACGCTAGGCCCGGGGGATGGGCGTGAAGATGACAAGGCGGTGGGCTCAGTGGTGAGGGGAACCAAGAGTGTAGTGAATGGATAAATGGTGGATTTCTCGCTGAGCTCGTTTGCATCGAGAATAGATTGGTAATCAGATTTGAAGGTATGGGCGATGTTAGAGACGTCGTCGCCCCAGTCGATCAGGTAGCTGAGGAGGTACTTGATTCCGGCCCTCGTCTGGTTTAGCGTTGGACAGACACACCGAAGTGGTACGACTAGTTTATACCCAACGGCGAGTTTGCGGCTGTCGAATGGGTTCTGATCCATTAGGGCTTGACAGGTGGAGAGGCCCTGGTACGTATCGTTGGCGATTGTGAGGTAGTTCTCGGAGACAGCTTTAATAGTATATGAGGCGTTGTGCTGGTAGAATTGGTTGGAGCAGGAGCAGGGGATGGGAATGAAGATGAGCTCACCAGGAGAAAGAGAGGCAACGTCGGTGACAGAATTGAGGCGTGAGATGTTTGTCGCGTCTGCAGATAAGAGGAAAGCGATGACGGCGGGTGAGAGATAGGGGGATTCAGCGCGGAAGGTGAGGAAGGAGGTGCAGGACTGCTCCGCGCCGTTGCAGGAATAACCCAGGGCGGATGAGGCGTTCGAGCCATAGCAGTTGTCCTGGACGTTGTTGATGTAAGGCTGCTGAGAATAGCTGGAGGACAAGAAGAGGAAGAGCAGGAGCAGGTGGAGGAGAAGTGATGGAGTGGAGGACGCCATGGCTAGAACTCGGTTCCCGGATGTGCGCTTTAGAGGAGGAAGATGAGTTTTTTTTAAATGAGATCTGGGATTTCTTTGTAGCTTCAACTGTCCAAGGAAGACTTGACGAAAGGTCCGACTTTGAATGTTGAACCGCTAGATAAACTATAAACGCGCTCGTGGTAATTTTTATTTTCTTTCCTCTTGCAGAATAATTGTGAGTAATTTTCTACTAAGTAGCACCATCAAAGAGTACCTTGCATTTTCATCTAAAATATACATTTGTTATTTATGTAAAGATCAAAGAACACAGCGCTGGAATTTTCGCTATTGAGAAAGGAATGAACAATATTAATATGCACAACCTAATGTAATCTCATGTCTGGGATGGGAATGGGAGCTCGAATCAGAGAATGGTAAGATAAATCAAGATCCGAGAGTACAATAGAACAAGCAGATTCGATCACAGAATCCTAGGCAACATCAAGAAGTTTTTTTCTCAAGGAAAGGGAATTTGAGCAAATTTAATTGCTAACATTTTGAACCTGGGGCCTCTTCATTAATATGTTGGCTTTCAACCAACATGCTATAATGACTTGCACATTAGGGAGTTCAGTTTCACAACTAAAAAAAAGCTATTAGAGAAAAAAGAAGTTGAGGGGAATTCTAATTTTTTATTCTAATGTATTTTTAACTTTGTAATATGAATGAACACAAAAATTAATAAAAAACATAAAAAGAATTTAATTATTTTACTTATATTGAGGAATTTAAAAAGATTTTAATCATATTCTAATTATATAATTGAATTCCACTTGATTGATTTTGAATAAAATAGTTAAATAACTTGCTAAGGCAGATTGTGGAGTACTCTTGCAAGTTGTCCCGTCGAGCTGACTATTTGATAGATCTGAGTAGCCGAATAACAACTGGCAATCATTAAGATCTGTTATTGTATGCTCTTTGCAAATATTTTTGAATTTGAAATTCACAAAACTTATTCCGCTTTAATAAGCCTTTTGGCTAACTAAGCCCTTATGTCAACTTGGTGTTGGTGTTATTTTTAGTATTTTCTTATGTCATTTTTTATTTGAGCATATTGTGACTCAACTTTCTCATTTTATGGCAAACATGTAAATTTGGTGATAGGTAATCATAATTTGAAGCTCTTTCTTTTTTGACATGAAAATTAGAGGTTTGGCTTGTTTTGATGCCAACACTAAATAAAAAATGCCTAAGTGTGCATCCCCATAAAAAGTGCCATAACTTAATGTCCATACCTCTTATTTTCTGTATTGATCCATTTTAAATAGGTAATCAAAAGTCGAAGGTCCTAACAAAGGTGCAATAGGGTAAGACAGTATCACTTCATCATGTCGAAAGTCAAAATTCTCATCCTAAGGTATCGTTTGATTGAATAGGTGTCCATTCCATTTCATTGGAGCTAAGATGCAATAAACATTGTCGCAACACTATAGACTAATTTTTTTCCTTTCAAAGGGGTAGTTTTGGGCTCCCACTAAGGTAGAAAATTTTGATTCTAGTCATTCCATTGAGCTTCTAAGTGTGTAAATGGAGAGTCTCTCTCCATTTTGATGGTGTGAGCATCTCTCCTTTTTGTTGTGGTTAGTTTTCTGCTTTAGATTTTTAGTGTGTGAGCTTCCCTCTACACCTCTTCTCTAACCACTCCCCATTTTTGGCTTTTGCCGTGTGAACTTCTATGCTTACCTTACATTTGATCCCTATTGACCTCATTTTTCATTGAATTATTTTTCTTGATTGTATTTAAAAAACATTTCACTTTAGGTAAATTATAAACTCAACCATAATTTATTAAAATTGAGATCTAACTCAAAAAAAAAATTTGTGTTGAATAAAATAGACCAAATATAACACATTTTAACTAACCTTAAAATTGATCTAAAACTCATCTTAATCAACTGAAACCTCAAAATTATCATTTAATCTTCCTAGAACCTTATAGGAATCAAAACTTAATTTTGTAAGTTGGATGATGCCAAATATTTTGAATAACGACCGTGAAAACAAGTCTGACAAATGTTTGAGATAATATTTATGTAAAACATTATGGTTCAAATGTTCATGCTTGAATAGTATTGTCCACAAGCCGTAAAATTCTCTTTTTTCTCCATTGGCCAATCTGGTGACCATAACCACAATTTGTATGGTACATAACTTTCCTAATCACATGTAAGGTGCATGCAAACCAATTTGGGGGTCAATAGATACCTTTTTTTTTACACAGAACTATTCACTTAAGAGTTACTAACATGAGAAATGAGTATGCATAAAAAATTATCAACGAGTGATTATTTTTCAAAACAGACTTTGACATTCTATCTGTGTCATCAAAGTCTTCCAAATGAACTTATTTATGCTCAAATTTCACCCCTTTTGGAGTACTATTGAGCTGATGATGATTATTAGAGAGAAAAATAATAAACATTGATAATAAAAAAGAAATTTTAAAAATAATTTACCTAAAATGAGCTTAAAATGAAATTTGACATCAACTAAATGATATATATAAAAAATGCTCGATTTGATCAATTAAAACCAATAAAAAACTCTAACTCAAAAAATACTTATTTCTCTCAATTAGGGTTTGGGTTCACTTTGACTTGAAATATCTTGAAATGTGGTTCTCTTTGACCAAAACAAATTGACCTACTAAAATCTTCATATTTTACTATATCAAATGAGCTTAAATCAAAATTTTTTGTCATAACCACCAAAACCACCTTGTAACCACCTCGGAATTTCAATTTGACATAACATAAGATACACATTATTTTCCAAAATTGATTGAACCTTTGGATTCCTTGTTTTGTTATCTTCAAAATGATACCCACTTTATTAAATTTATATAACCACCTAGCTGCCCAATCACTCAAATTTAGAAATTTGCCCTCCCTTTTTGAAAAAATGTCCCATGAACTCTTGACCACCCCCTTCATTCTCTCCTCTCCATTCTCTGTCCCACTTCTTCTCTCCTCATTCCCACAGAGATCCCTTTCTTCATTTTCTCTTTCTCTCTATCTCTCTCTCTCTCTCTCTCTCTCTCTCTCGATTATCCTTCTCCTTTCTTCCTCTTCCCTCTTCTCCTTCATCCCCCAAAACTTAGGGAAATTAGGGCCTTTCCACCACCAAATAGAGAAGGATAAGTAAGGAGACTAGGAAGAATATCAATTAAAGATGAAGAACATCAAGGCTATGAAAGAACATTCCTTAACTTAGGAATGTATAAATCCTTTACACATCTCTCTCTTTTGAATTTTATATTTGCATGATGTAGACCATGGGGCTTTCTCTTCTCTTCTCTTGTGTTTTGTATTTCTTGTCTTTTCTTTTTTGATTTTGATGGCATGGTTGAATCACATGCAATGTTTTTTTTTTTACCTCGCCCACTCATTCTCTTCTATTCCTCTTCCCCTCATTTTTTTCCTCTACCCAAACCCTCATCTCATTTCTTTTCACACCTATGGCCACAAATTTTCTATTCACGGTCACTTCTCTTGCCCATAATTCACTACAAAGTCACATAAAATCTCAATCTTAATTTACCTAAAAAACTACCAACGAAAATTCCTCTACCCAAAATCCTACCTGTCAAAAACAACACATTACCTCACTCTCACACTACCCCATACTTAGAACCCTAACCAAAGCTAGTCCACTACACAACCCTTCACCAAACCTTAGCCAACTTTAATTCAAGCCCAAACCCTAGGTATACACAAAATACTAAACATTAACCTAACCATAAACTTAGTTGAATGCAAACTCATTTTCTTCAATTCATCCTAAGATAAACTCACCACATCACTTCCTTTTCCTTCACACACTCACTTACTCAAAATCTCTCATAATAAACCCACTCACTCAATCAACGACCCTGAAACCCATCTAATCTAGCCTACCCAATAACTCAATCAACAAATCCAAACACTAAATCAGCCTAAAATATCCCAAGGAAACTTAAACACTATCCTACATGAAATCTAAACCAACCATAACCCACTTGGCTTACCCGAGCACACTCATACACGTTAACTAATTACATTACCTAATCCTAAATCCGACTCACTAGCCTATTAACCTCTTAACTGATTAAACTACATCATCCATTAGCCTATCAAAACTCTAATTAACTTGAACTCGTCCTAACCAAACCCAAGACATTGTAGACCACTTAACATGAACCCCAACACACCTAATTCACCTAGCCTGAGCCCAACACCACCCTAAATCACCAAACCCAAACCTTTGATGGTTTAGACCAAGCCTTACATAATCTTAAGTCAAACGGAACCTACTTCTAATCCCTTACCCAAAACCCCATAGAAAGGTAGATCTATAATAATAATAACAATAACAACAACTACTACTACAACTACTACAATAACATAGAGGGATAAGGGAAAAATATATGCATTTGTTGATCTGAATGTGCTTGTGAGCTTGTCTAAGTGCATGTGTCAAACTTATGTTTATATGTGTGTTTAAATGTGTGTTCTGAAGTAAATGTGTTCAAAATGGATATACTTTTGTGCTCACATTTGTTGTAGTTCCTCATGCAAGTTCACCCGAGCTAGTTTTTTTGTATCCATGTAGAAGTTTTCTTTTCAAAAAAAAAAAATAAGTGTTAGTTCATGGTTCATGCTAACAAGTTCACATTCAAAATATTATGTTTCATGCTAGAGAAAAAAAAAAGAAAAAGAAAATTAATCCATATTAAAAACCCTATAATTCATATTAGCCAAAGCCATGTAAGTATATGTTTCATGTTACCAAACAAAACCAAAATGCATGTAAAATACTTAGTAAATATTAAATAGACCTGCAAATACAAGTTTGACGAATTTAAATTTATATTTACATGCAAATGCAAGTTGGATGTGTTTATATATACATACAAATACAAGTTGGATGAGTTTATATATGCATGCAAATATAAGTTTGATGAGTTTAATTTTACATATACAAGTAATTGTTGGTTGGATGAACTTAAGTTTTGCATGAAAATGGCAAGCTGGACAAATTCATATGTTATTATGAACTATTCAATTTGGGTGATTTGCATGCCATAAAATCACATGAAGTTGTCAGTCCATGCTAGTTAAAACCTCTGGGAAACCTATAATAAATGGTTCATGGTTGTGCGAGAAAGAGAGCTTAATTCATTAAACTAA